ATGATTAGTGACCTTGTGCATGTTTTCATATGTCTCTTGGCCTTCCTTATGTCTTCTTTTGAAAAGTATGTGTTTAGGTCCATTGCTCATTTTTTCATTGGGTTGTTTATCTTCCTGTTGTTAAATTGTATGAGTTTCCTTAAATGTTGGATATTAAACCTTTATTGATGACAACATTGCCAAATATGCTCTATACAGTGGGCTCCCTTTTCGTTTTGTTGATGGTTTCTTTTGCTGCAGAAGCTTTTTATTTTGATGTCCCATTTGTTTATTTTCTCCTTAGTTTCCTTTGCCCCAGGAGATGTATCTGTAAACATATTGCTATGAGAGATGTCTGAGATTTTGCTGCCTGTGGTTTCTTCTAGGATTTGTATGGTTTCACGTCTTACTTTCAAGTTTTTTCTCCGTTTTGAGTTTATGTCTGTGTATGGTGTGAGTTGGTGGTCCGGTTTCATTCTTTTTGCATGGATCTGTCCAATTTTCCCAGCAGCATTTACTGAAAAGACTGTCATGACTCCGTTGTATGCTCTTGGCTCCTTTGTCAAACACTAATTGAGCATAATGGCTTAGGTTGATTTCTGGGTTCTCTGTTCTGTTCCATTGATCTATATGCCCGTTCTTGTACCAGTACCAGGCTGCTTTGAGTACAATGGCTTTGTAGTAGTTGATATCTGGTATTGTGATTCCTCCAACTTTGTTCTTCTTTCTCAAGATTGCTGTAGCTATTCGGGATCTTTTTTTGGTTCCATATAAATTTTTTGGAGTGTTTGTTCTAGGTCTGTGAAATATGCCGTTGGTATTGTAATAGGGATTGCATTGAATCTGTAGATTGCTTTGGGTAGTATGGACATTTTAAGGATGTTGATTCTACCAATCCATGAACACAGTATACTCTTCCACTTGTTTATGTCTTTCTCTTTCTCTTTTTTCAACGTCCTGTAGTTTTCCGAGTACAGGTCTTTTACCTCCTTGGTTAAGTTTATTCCTAAATATCCTAATTTTTTTGTTGCAATGGTAAATGGGGTTGAGTTTTTCTTTTTGAGAGTTCATTATTGTGTATAAAAATGCCATGGATTTCTGGGTCTTAATTCGGTATCCAGCTACATTGCTGAATTCATTTATTAAATCTAGTAGTTTTTTATGGAGTCTTTAGGGTTTTTTATGTACAATGTCATGTAATCTGCAAATAGTGAGAGTTTTGCTTCCTCCTTTACAATTTGGATGCCTTTTGTTTCTTCTTCTTATCTGATCACTATGGCTAGGACTTCATGTACTCTGTTGAAGGAGAGTGGTGAAAGGGCATCCCTGTCTTGTTCCTGTTCTTAGGGGAAATGGTTTTAGTTTTTGCCCAGTGAGTATGATGTTGTCATATAAGCTTTTATTATGTTGAGGTATGATCCCTCGATTCCCACTTTGCTGAGAGGTTTTATCAAAAAAGGGTGTTGGCCTGGCCTTGGTGGCTCAGTGGTTGAGCAGTGGCTATGATCCAGGAGGTCACCTTAGATTCCATTTGCGGGCTCGATCAGACAAAGGCAGCCGTACAATGATTCTCTCTCATCCTTGACTTTTTTTTCTCTCTCTCTCCCTCTCCCTTCTTCTCTGAAATCAATAAAGATATACTTTTTAACAAGTGTTGGATTTTGTTGAATGCTTTTCCTGCACCAATTAATATGGTCATGTTATTTTTGTCCTGCAATCTATTTATACGATGTAAATTGATTTGTGAATATTGTACCAGCCTTGCATCCCTGGAATAAATCCCACTTGGTCATGGTGTAGGATCTTATTAATGTATCGCTGGATCGAATTTGCCAAATTTTGTTGAGGATTTTAGCAGCTATGTTCATCAGGGATGTTGGCCTGTAGTTCTCTTTGCAGTGTCTTTACCTGGTTTTGGAATTAGGGTGATGCTGGCCTCATAGACAGAGGTTGGAAGTGCTCCTTCCTCTGGGATTTTTGGAGTAATCTGAGGAGGATCAGTGTTAGTTCTTCCTTGAATGTTTGGTAAAACTCCCCTGTGAAGCCGTCCGGATCAGGGCTTTTATTCCTGGGAGTCTTTTTATTACTGCTTCCATTTCCTCAGTAGTTATCAGCCTATTCGGGGGTTCTGATTCTTCCTGAGTTTTGGAAGATTGTATTTTTCTAGGAATATGTCCATTTCACCAGGCTGTCCAGTGCATAGTAGTTTTTTCCCGGATACTTTGTAGTCTGTGAGGGCAGGCATATTTCTTTATAAAGTATATACACCTACTTCTGTCAATGCATATGTATTAAATACCGGTAAATTCTAGTTATGAAAAATAAAGAGACAGGATTTGGTCTAATACAGTGGTTCTCAACCTTCCTAATGCCGCGAGCCTTTAATACAGTTCCTCATGTTGTGGTGACCCCCAACCATAAAATTATTTTCGTTGCTACTTCATCACTGTAATGTTGCTACTGTTATGAATCGTAATGTAAATATCTGATATGCCGGATGTATTTTCATTGTTACAAATTGAACATGATTAAAGCATAGTGATTAATCACAAAAACAATATGTAACTATATATGTGTTTTCTGATGGTCTTAGGCGACCCCTGTGAAAGGGTCTTGGACCCCCAAAGGGGTCGCGACCCACAGGTTGAGAACCGCTGGTCTAGTATTTTCCTCCCACACCCCTCTGACCACTGACAAATTACAAAACTGTAACTACATGATGCCATCCTCCGGCGGTTGGGGTTCTGAGAAGCTCCAGGGGTTCAGCCTGCTCCCCACCAGC